AACAAATTGCATCAGTCAGACTAAAAGCTTCATAAATATTGACTGGCTTTAACAGGCCCCTGGGGAACAGAAAGTCTCATTTTCTAATAACTACAGCTCCTGGCCCACTGAGGGCCGCTCCCAGGAGAGAGCGTGTGTAGGCGGAGGGGTGTTCTACACGCCCAGGGGCACGGTCCTTTCATTCCCTCACACAGAGAATCGCCCCCTTCCACGGGGCGGGGGACACTGCGCCCGCAGGGGGCGAATGTGTGTGAAACGGGGAGACGCTCGTGTCCAGCTGGGAGCGGGGAGGGGATTTTCCATCATTTCCCCTTTGACTCTGACAGGATAGCTACGGGTGAGGCTGTGGGGCTGGGTGGGGTGGGGAGGCAGCTGGGCAGGGGGAGGGTGAGGTACTGGCATGGTGGGAGGAGCCAGGCAGAGAAACGCCAAGGGGGGAACCCGACTGGAGGAAAGGGAGCTGGGGAAGGAGGCCTGGGGGAGACGCCTGAATGGGGTGAGTCGGATGGGAAGAGGAGTCCAGGGGGGAAGGGGAAGATGCACTGGAGTGGGGGGCGAGGAAACCTGGCTGGGTGAACGGGGAGGAGGAGGAGTACTGGGGGCCAGTGGGGACAGTCTGGCCCTATGGGAGGAACAGTGGCCCTGCTCCGAGGAAACGTTCCCCTTACCCCCACCCCTTGCCTCTATAAACAGAGGAACTGTGGGCACAAGGCCAGTGTCTCTCTGAAGCTACTGCTCAGCATGCAACGGGAACTACGCCAGGGGAGGCGTCCTTCTCCCCGGCCAGTGACGCCAGCCGACCACCGTCATTAGCTACGGCCTGGGGGATGCAGCGATGGCATGTCCCTGACGGGAAGACTCTTTTGGGAGGCGCATACTCAGCAGGGTGTTTTCACCGGGATCCAGCATGTGGCAGCTCAGAGGAAAACACAAGAGCCAGGCCAAATCCAGAGCACGTTGCTCCGGCTCACATGGGACGCACGCGGAGCGGGAAGCTTTTCAGAGCCTCCCGAGTGCCAGTGAAAAGACAAGATTTCTCTTTCCAAACCCCCCAGGTGCTGTGTGAAGCAGCCCCTCCATGTTCTCTCCCTTTCATCAGTCCAAGGCTGGTGGCACGTCTTAACAGTTATCTAAGGAATGCGTTGAATTCTCTTTGACGGATGTTTGTCCCAGAGGTGTGAATGCTGCTTTGGGATGAATCTGAGGTTAGGCTACTTGGAGACTCAATCTTTCATCCAGTAGCTACTGGGTGAAATTCTGGCTCCATTGAAGATAATGGCAAAGCTCCATTGATGGCACTTCTCATGACTGAATGGTTTTATCACACAAGAACCAAGAGGGTCTTCGCCGGGGCAGAGAGAGACGAGCCGAATGCATAAAGACATGGAGGTTGGATTACACTCAGGAGCTTAACCTCATCTGTCCATACACAGAGTTGGTGCATATTGAAGCAGCTCCTCTGGGTTTAGTGGAATCCAGCCAGCGTGCCCCTGGTCTGCATATTCCCAACAATATGGACTGGTGGGTTTTGTCCATTGTTGTTCATTTCCCTTTTGACACCAGATACATTATGCTATGCTAGCACAGCTTCACGAGCTTGTGCCCATGAGAAGCGGCCATGACAGATTAGGACCATGAAGATTAAAGTTGGAGAACTATGTTAGACGCCAGCTGCCTGCAAGTACAGGAGACAGTCCTTCAACAGATGACATGCAAGACATTATTGATGACTGGAGCTGATTTTAAAAACAAGAAAAATATTACAAATATTTCATCCAAATTTGTCTCCGTTTAATTGAAATGTCAGTGACATTTTTTGTCAACATTTTGCAACTTGACAAAGCTTCTCCCAGATGGATTAATGGGCCAAACGCAGAGTCCCTTTCATTCATTAAGGCCAATCACTGCCATCCGATAATCCCACAGCAGCAATGAACCCACTAGGACCTTTGGCAACAGGCAGGGATGTACAGATCCCCCCCACTCCTCTAGATACCGCCTCATTCTGTACCAGCCCGTCTCACATCTGTCTCCTCAGGCAGAATGGCTGCCCATTCGCCTTCATTCAGGTCCTTCATTTGGCCAGACACCAGGAAAAGTGACGCTGGAGGATCGGAGCCCGGCAGAAAGGAGACGGTGAGATGAGCATGTCTGCACTGTGATCACACAGCAGCACCAGACCTCACATGCCCATCATGTTGGAGCGGTGACACAATAGATGTGAGGACACTTTGGGCGGCTGAACGGTCGCATCAGCCCAGTGCTACGCCCCTGGGATTTCTCTGCAATGAAAGAGCAAACCCCAGCGAGGAGCTTTTCCAGCGTCCCTCTACAAGATACTACAAGACGTCAACAAAGCCTCATTGGTTCCAAGGGCTGCTGACAGATGGATTCAGCAGCGACCCCTTACTCAGATCTATCACCAGGAGAGCAGCATCCACCATCGATACCGATACAAGACTCAGTTCTACACCAGGTCTGGAGACAAGATGAGAGGGAGCCAGAAAACCAGCTGCTGCAAGTCTTTCTGTAGCTGACCCTTCCCTCTAAAAGGGTGGTTTGAGTGTGAACTATAATCGATAAGGTTGCTAACATCCAGTGAGTTCCTGCTTAAGGTGCTACTACTTCAGACTGAGAACCGCTTGTTATGCATTAAATTGATCTTAGTCAAACTGGCGACATATGCTAACTTGCATGTTATCAGGAGGTACGTGCTCCCGGGAGAATGGGGGAGTTCTCATGTCTGAATGGAATAATAGTTTCAGAGGCAGTGAGGAGATAGATATTAGAGTTAGCTGATGCACTAACTTCTGATGACGGAGAAAGTCCTGGTTTGTTTGGTCTCTGAAAGATCTGAATTAGAGCTAGTGGGAAAATACCAATATTTTGCAGGAAGTTTTGAAACATTTTGAAAAATTTTCTTGCAGGAATTTTTCAGGTTTGTGCCGGTTGTTTTCCTTTCTTTGTTTGTGATTGAAAACCTACCTTTTTTTCAGCTTTTGGTAATTTTCATTGAAACAAACTCAGAAAATGTCATCAAAAATGAAATATCTCCATTTTGACCCGATGTCATTTTCATTTAAATTACTTTTTGACCAAACAAAAAAGAGAGAAATGCAAGCAGCTGTAATCGGCATTGTCCTTGTTTGAATTCTAGGCCTCCAGGTGTCCAGTTAATAAGATGCTAAACACACTCATAACATTATTGAGTTGCAGGATAACGTTCAGCTTCTCTGGGCTTGGAAATCAGCCTAGTCACTACCGCCTGTCAGCACCCCAAAAGACAGATTGATTTCTCCTCTTGCTTTATAGGACCGCCAAAGCCAGAGTGTCATGTTGCACCTCATTTGGCTAGAGGATAATGGTTTGCACATGCCCTAGAAGGCTGATTGCATTGGGATAGGACACAGCTGAAAATAAATATGCTGCCTTCCCAGCTAGCATCGTGCCCTTCCTGTCACAGAACTTCAGTGCAATCCAACACGACTGCCCATGTCTGTTCAGGTGAGCCTGGGCAGTGGTATAGCAAGCGGGGTGTAGCAAATCAAGATCAAGAGGGAAATGGGCACTACACGGCCTTCGTGGGCTGTTGTCCCAATTCTGCAAGGATGCATTGAACATTGTCAATGCAACTTCCATTGGGAGCTGAGGCCCATTGGCACCTTGCAGAAGAGCATCTTGTGGGGTCAGGCCTATTGTCTCTCATTCTCATGACAATCGCTGTCGTTTTCTGCACTTAAATAGCACCGTTCACGCAAAGATCTCAAAGGGCTTCACCAGCATTAATTTATTTAGTCCCCGTTGTATAGCTGGGTAAGGCTGGGGCATCAAAAGTGACTTGTTCAAGGTCACACAACAAGTCGTTGGCAGAGCTGGGAAACAAACCCCAGAAATCCCAACTCCAAGTCACTATTGCCTTCCAGTTAATGCTACCTGCAGGTAGCACCCGGCGGCGTGAGATGGGCAATTCGGGACAGCGCTGCGGCAGCCAAGACTATCAGGTGAATCAGTGGCACTGCGCGTAGAGATCAGCTTGTTGCTAGTGCAGGCTGTGAGTGACTCAGTTCTGCAGCTCATCTCTGCAACGTCACTTGCGGAAAGTAGCAGGGGCTGAGAACAGAGTTTACCAGGACGGTTGTTATTGCAGCATCTCTCTTGGTATCATAAAGTTGTAATTGAAAATTCCTAACAGATCATTGAGATAGATGGGAAGGCAATAAATACAAGCTAAACAAGATGGAGCCAGACCCCTAAAACAGACACTGAAAGGTTTTACAGTGCATCTTACCACATTTTATCTGAATAAAATATGGGCGTTTGCCAATAAAATGGATCATCCAAACACCCTTCCTTCTCCCGAATGGACAAAACTGAAGGGATCTGGCTCCTCTTTGATGAATTTCATATCTGATGTCAAATTTAACCCCCAGCCCATACTTTGCCCTGAAATCAAATGCAGCATTTTGCCTGTTGATGATAAAGCCAATGCTCAACAAAGTCATTGGGATGGAGCAATGCACCGGAGTGCCAGCAATCAGTTAAATTAAATGAACAGCCCTGTCTTCCCCTCCACCATTCTGGCACTTTCTACATCTCAGGTTAATTAGCACAAGCGCTGGAGAGTGCAATAATAAATTGCAAAGCTCCCTTTGAGCCAGCTCACGGAATACATTTCTATAATAGAGCCACAGAACCTGTATATGGATGCGCGCGTGTGTGTGTGAGAGAGAGGGAACAGTCATTGGATTGGTCAGATAAGAGACATATTGACCGGGTTCCTTATGACGTCTGTTCCTGGGTTGATCTGTCCATTATCCAAGGAGTGAATCATATTGACAGGTTGAATTATATTTCAGAAGATTTTTTTTCTCCCCCTCCTCCAAAGACCATTTGTAATCATTGCACATTCGCTGGCTTTTAAAAGTGAGCTCCTCTGGAGCCGGGTTGCACTGAAGTCCTCCATCGAGCGTGAAGGAAGAGTTCTTTTGGGTGGCGGGAACATGGACAAAATCTGTTCGGTCCAGCTCTGCCTTGGGCTCCTAACTGTTTTCTCCATAATGCTGTTGATACCGTCTGCACATGGAAAACCTCTTGCACTACAAGGTAAGCTGAAACTCAGCCTAGACGACATAGGTAGGTATTTATCTCTGCTGGTTGGTTGGTTGGTTGGTGGATTTTCCTTTCTGCTTGACCCGACCCTACAGCACTGATTTTCACACGGGAAGGAAATAAGGTTACCCATTACTACCTCACTATACTAAACATTTAACCAACCAGTGAGCTACTGGGAGGCCTCATTATATTAGGGTGACCTACAACCATCCCTATGTCCGTTCCTGGTTGTATAATACGTCACATTTAACAGTGACCCTGTCACATCAGAAGGAATGTGTCTGATGAGAATGTCTCTTGCTATTCATAAAGAAAATCTCCTAGGGAAAAAAATGCCCTGGTATTATCCAGTGATGGTCCTGACACAGAGTGTACGAGGTCAGACAGCTCCTAAGTGTCCGCACTAGACGTTTTATCCAAGGAGGCTTCTTTTTTACATGTTCTTCTCTTAGTAACTTAAGTGCGTCTTGGCTTGCACTTATTCTGCAGGGAAATGGTGTCATTAATCTTTGTTACAGAGCCTTCGAGGGGGAAACAGGAGCAGCTAAATATAAGCTAGAAAATAACGTTGCTTTTAAATGGATTTTTCCTCCTCGATTGCCTGGTTGGTTTTGTAATAATGCCTTTTATTTTGATTGTGCATTTCTATTTTTTTTCTAAAGCAAACTCCAACATGCCTAACCACCACCATTTCAAAGCCCTCATAACCCAAATCATCTTTAAACTCACCATGCTAAACGCATCCCTCTTGTGACGCCGCTACATTCCAGGGGGTTAATTCCTGCTTGTAACTGAGATCAGGATCAGGCCCAGTGACACCAGTCAAGGTACCACGCCAGGGATGAATTTGGCCTGCATTTATGATCATCAGAGTAGGCACAGCACCTCAGCTCCCCAGCTCCCCCAGATTTATGCAGCTGTGTCTAAATAGACGTCCCCTAAGCCTCCACTAGGTTCATGAGATCAGCTATAATAATAATGTGTTGCCCCCTGTGTGTGTATGTTTTGCTTTAAGCCCATCAGGGTTAGATAAGGGTGAAGCCACTTTGGTGAAATGATTGCCCTGCACCTGCATGTGTGGAGGGAACGGAAGCCTGGAGGGTCAGGAAAAGAAGAGGGCTGTTCCTCGGGCACCATTCTTGCCTGTTTATGGTCTCTATAGGAGCTTTGGGATCTGAAATGGGTTGGGAGCCTGGGCACTCTCCATGAATTTCCCTCTCCCCGCCCCCGCTTGCCTCACAAAAGTTAACGCTGACTGTGTGCCCTACCCTTTGTTTCAGGCTATATAAGAGACCAGCTGGGGTGAGCTGGGAGCTCCTGGTCTCTGGAGCACTACAGAGTCTCGGTGCATATGGCCCTGGACTATGGTGACTGTCCGGTGACCAGATACTGGTGGATCCATGGGGTTTGGGGAGCAATCTTTCCAGAGAGCAGTGACTCCCCACCCTCCCTACGGGAACAATACGGAGAGCGCTCTGTCTGGGGGTTTCACAGAGGGCCCTGTCCCCTTTCTGGCAGCAGGCAGTTGATTTAACAGGTTCTGGGAGGATTCCCCTTGTGCACAGGGAATCCCCAGGTGGCCTAGAGTCAGAACAGGGGGCTTTCCCAGGAAAATAAAGGAGTGTCTTGGACATCCATACAGGCCGGCCCTGCCTGGCAGCTGGACCAGTCCGTGACCCCATGGGCGGACAGGCGTGACTGCCCCCTGGCTGGCTCTAGCCAGGGTGAACACAAAGGTTTTTTGTCACCTGTGCGTGTATCTCAAGCACAGCAGGGGAATTAGCCCAGAGGTGGGGGCTCTTACGTCTAGGCTGGAGGGAACTCCAGTAAGTGTGCACCAGGGATCACCCCTGTCCTGGTCTCGGGGAGACAGGCTGGACGGACTCCCAGCTCCTCTCCAGCCCCAGTATGATTCTGTGGGGGCAGCTGGGGGGTGGGGGGGAGAAGGGAGTCCCCAGTGGATTGGTGACGGACTAGGCAATGCAACTGTCTGACTCCCCTCTGCGTAACAGGGAGGGACCATGTTGACCAGGACCGGTTATAAGCAGGAGCAACCACGCAGCAGCTCTGCTGGGGCTGAGGGTGAGGATTGCAACCTCACCCACCCATGGGAGACCCCCCCCCAGTACGTCTCCCTCTCCCCCATCCCTCCCAACCTGCCATTATGCGACAGTGAGATATTTCCCTCCTCCGGTCTTGTGCCGGGGAACCCATTCATCCCGGCGTCACAGCCTGAGAGAGGTGTTTTATGTGCTGCAGAAAACCCAGGGTTTCCGGAGAGAGGAGACACCAATCACCAAGACGGGCTGCTGACTCTGCTGCTTAACAAAAACCTCGGCTGGAGGCAACCCGCGGCTAGCGGTGAGTGAGGGGGCGGGCGACGCGCCCATCAATCCCGTCTCCAGCTTCCCACCCCAGATCCCTGGAGGCAGCTTTGTTTAGTTGAATATGAAGGGCCTGATCCTTAAGGGCTGAGCCCCCTAATTACCACGGATTGGTATGGGAGTGGAGACCGCTCAGCACCTTGTAGGATTGGGACCTACACACAGTGGATCAGACCAGCTGGTACACAGGGGTTACTTGATGCTGCTTTTCCATTGCAAGTCTGACCTAAAGCCATCTTAGCTGGCCCCCAGAGGCTCCCGCAGCACAGGGGAATTCGCAGGTGGCATTGAGTTGTCAGAGAAGCTTCTCCAGTCCCCCACATCCCCGTAGCAGACACAAGTGGCAGGGCTAGTGACAAGGAAGACTGACAGAAGTGTCCCTGCACCCCAGTAATCCCTGGCTGCTGGAACGAGTTCTATCCTGTGCCAGCAGACGGGTCCCGCTCAGAGCAAGCCCAGGGTCGGGGGGCGGGAAGCCACTTTTCTCACACACACACGCTGCAGCTAGCGGCCCTCAGAGGCAGCTCAGGGTCTGGCTGGAATGTTAAAACTTACGCAATGCCTTCAACAGGAGCTCATGCAAACATCTGATCATCATTTATCTCCAGGGGTAATTGCTTTACAGAGAGCAAAGAGGTGATTGGTCTCAGCCGGAGTCCACGCTTAGTAAGGGTTCTCCGGATGAGCTAAGAACCAGGGGGAACGCCTAGCAGAACCTGACCTTGTTAAAGTTGGGGAAAGTTCAGCCAACGGGATTTTTCTTGCTGCTCCATCCCTTTGCAGCTCTGGGTTGGCGGGGCCCGGAGGCACCGTGCTATCACAAGGGAGTTTATCCCACCCGCGAGATCTGACGTGACCAAAAATCAGAGAGTGCAATTCTAAGGGCTCCGGGCCTTCCTGTCGATTTCAGCAGGATCCCAACCCCAGAACGTGGCAGGGTATCGTGAGACTTCTCCTGGCACAAAAGGAGGGAGCATTATTCAAATTCAAGAGATAACATTTGCCCACTGAGGGCCCAGTCCAAAGCCCATTGAAGTCAATGGATGGGTTCTCACTGGCAGCATAGGTCTTCAGAGCAGGCCTGTGCTGTGTTCTCTTCACAGTGACCATTCTGATGCAAACAGGAGAGCACAGGGACAAGCAGTGACAAAATGCCCCAAGGACTGCAAGGGTCTCCACCCTTCCCTCTGCTAAACTCAGTGAGGCAGCCGTAGTTCTGAATGGCTGAATAATCCTGCAAATCTAATCAATCAAGTTCTTCTGCTAATGAAGGGATTCAGTTTACAAACAGGATGCATTCAAGAAAGAACAGGCTTATGGGTTAGTGTACTTATTACTCCTAGAGGCAGGCTTCATTTTATGCCGGGCAACTGCCAACAATTAATCTCCAAGGGAAGCATAGGCAGAGGGTTTACACCAAGGCAAAGTGTCGTCAGTAAATTAGCCTTTTTTATTCTCCCCCGAGACTGCCTGTTCCAATGTCAGCTGCTGTTCATTTTCGGGATGCCGCAGTCCTTGGCCAGCCCGCTGACTTGTGGAACTGTAGCCAAAGCAGATGCCAGAAATGCCGCAGGAAGGGGATGTGTGTGCAGTAACAATTGTAAGCGCTTAGGTAGCAGTTTTCATCCCTAGATCTCAGAGTGCTTTTGCAATCTCTGTTTTGCTGATGCGAACAGCAGGTCACAGAGGCTTGAAGGGGATTTGTCCAAGGTGTCACAGGAGGCAGAGCCAGAAATAGAAGCCAGCTCTCTTGATTCCCAGCCTGTCCACTGGACCATGCTATCTTTTAAATCAAGACTGATCTAATGTATTGGCTTGATGTATATTGTTGCCCCTTTTGGCCCAAGCAGTTAGCCAATATTCTGCATCTTGCAGGTTGTCTCCATTAGGAGGAGAAATTGATGGTGGAAACAGGTGTTTCTTTGGTGCATCCTGTTTATTTACAAAGACTGTACAAAGGCCTGTGGCCCTGACTGCAGTATGAACGAACCGCAGCAGATAGTTTCCGGGCTCACGGTTCCATGCATCTTCCCAGCCAGCACTCTGCCCAAAAGAAGCTCTGTCTCTTGGCTTCCTCTCAAGGCCATGTTACCAGCGCTTCTCTGGATGTCTCCTGGCTTTCTGGCCATTTTTCTGCTTCTCACAGCTCTGCTGACGTGGCCAGGTTATCTAGGAGTGGGAAAACACCCTCAGTGCAGATGCAGCTGTACCAACAGAAGAGTGATTTTGGCAGCATATCTAATGTCATTGGGGGAGGTGGGGGAGCTGGGCCAGCAGAACTCCTTTCACGGGCATAAGCTGCGTCTCCTGAGGGGGCTTTGCTGGCATAGCTGTACGGGCAAAGGCTCTGTAGACGGGCCCCCCACAGCTGCCGTGTTTGCACTGAACACCCCGGAAACCACCTCTGCCCACAGAGCTCAGCTTCTGCCTGACCTTGCACGTAGCCTCACCCCTTGGGCAGCGTTTTCTATTGTGTTAGCTATGTTGCTCCATCAAGGCGCCTAATTGCTTCTTACTGTCCCGGGGCGCACCACTCACGGCTTGTCTGGCGCCTCCTCCTGGTCACTCTGGGGATTAGCGCTCAAGGTTGACGACCCTTCCAGGGTCACATGCCATCACACCAGGCACCGCAGCATCCTCTCTTGTCCCAGGCACCACAGCATCCTCTTTGTGACTCAGCCCTCGGGCCGGGGCACTCAGTGTTCCCCCGTTCTGCCCCTTGCCTGGTCTATGCCACACCCATGGTGGCTGGTTGGGGAACCCGGGCTCACCCATTGCTCTGGATTCTAGTCTAGTAGTCCTACACCCAGTAGTCCTGGGCTTTCCTCTCCCAGCCCTCACTGCTCCTTTCCTGGACTGCATCCAACAACTCCTGGTTCCCCTTCTTGCTCAAACACTCCTCCCTCTTCCCAGGGAGTGACTGAGCCTTTCCCAGCAGCAGCCCCAGTCTATTGCCAGCTTCCTGGCTTGATAGGCCCCACGTGTTCCTGCCCAGCTGAACCTGCCTGCAGTCAACTCCCTGCTCCCTGGCTCTCCCTCCAGGTGCAGCCTATGGAGTTAACAGGCCTGCCTGGGCACCTTAACTCCTTCCAGTCCTGTGTGGGGTGGACGCCCCCTCACACTTACATTGATCCTGAGTGAAGGGCGGTTCGACGTGGCTCAGCCACAGCAAGGTCTGTGATTGCCAATAACCAAAGACACGCCTGCTGGGAGCCACCAACACTCTCCAGCATAACCGTAACAGCGACTGCATTGGCTCTCTCCTGCTCTGGCCACTTAATCATAGAGACATAATTCCCCTGATGCTTTAGTCTGACAAAGCCTGAGTTACCGGCCTTCAGGGCATGGGGCTAGGCCCCTTTGTTCTGGCTTTTGCCCAACCACGGTGACGGGGAGCCGCTGAGTTGGCCTTGGCCAGTACATGCCCTTAGTTTCGCTCTTATATTTGTACCCGTCAGGTATGTTGTATAAAGTTACAAAACAAACATGACAACCTGCCCCCTTTATTATTTAGCATTAAGGGAAAGTCCTGTATAACTTGTAGGGAATGCCAACTCTTCTGTTGGGCTTTCAACTAACCTCGATTTTCAGGGCTAAGTTGGATTTCAATGGCAAGGAGGCCTTGCACGTATAAAGGGCGAATGAGGAAATTCCTTCTCCTGGGGGTTTCAGGAAGCAGTACAGATATTTACACTACCTGTGTTCTTTCTTCCAGACTTGGAGCTGGCAAAGAAATTTGAAGAACTTGAACAGGTGAGAGTTGCATGCATTGATGCAGAATGAATCAGGCAAAAGCCAGGAGTGGGTCAATAATCCCCAGACTGAACTAGTGGGTATGTTGCGATCCCCGGCCTGTTTTTCATCAATGTCAGTGCCCCGGTGAGAGAACGGGCCATCTCCTCGGGAAGAGGAAGAGGAAAGCACAACAGGGGTTTAAAACACTCATCAGATGGAAGAAACACATTCCTAGATTGCCAAGCCAGAAGGGACCGTTGTGATCCGCTAGCATAGCCCAGGCCCTAGGACTTCCCCCAAATAACTCCCAGAGCAGATATTTTAGAAAAACATCCAATCGCGATAGAAAAGTGGCCAGTGATGGAGAATCCACCATCAGCTTTGCATTGGGAACAAGATAGGAAATAACATTGGTTAGGTTGCAGCAGTGACCTAGCTCTGCCATATTTAAAGGGCCAGCATCTGGAAAGGCATGCTGGGGAAAAAAGTTCCCTTAAGAGGGAAACCCTTCCCAGGGAAGAGGTAGAAGGGGCTAGCGACAGATGCAGGTGCTGCTGCTTTGTCGTGTTTAATCCCATCACCGGGTCACACCAAGGAGCTATGGGTGCGGGAACTGGTTCAGATTAGAGCCAGGACCACGGCACAGAGTCCTACTCCCAGTCTGAATTTCCCCAGGTCCTTTATTATGATGGTTTGTGTCGCAGTAGCACTTAGAGGCCTACTCCAGGAGCATGTCTCCATTTTGCTGGGTGATCCACCCCACCGTGGGAGACAGTCCCTGCACCCGAGAGCGGAGGGTCTAAGCAGACAAGGCCGGTATAAACGTGTGCCCTCACCTCTAGGGACATAGCAGTGCAGGGAACTTGGTCTCTTACCCCTCGGTGGCCGGTCCCGTGGCTGCGATGGCTAGTCCCAGCCGGTGTCTTCTCCCCTCTCCCTCTCTGTTTTCTGAGGCTCGGCCCTCCGGCCAGGTCACATGACAGTTCACTCCCTTTCCAGGGTAACCAAAGATCCATCCAACTTAAAGTCCAAATCAAAGGCCCAGACTAGCAGTTCTTCTGGCCCTCTCGGGTGCCACGGAAGTTCTCGGCCTCTCCGGATTCCTGCAGAGCTTCTCTTCTCTTGCTTCTTCCCCAGCAGGACTACCCCACTGCTTCCCTTCCCTACGCATGCCAGCAGTTTACCTCGGAGGGTCTCCCTGCTCCTTTTAGGCCACATCTCAGGGATCCCCCCACAGGAACCTACCCTGCTCCATGGGGAAACTCAGCCTGATTTCCTCAGGCTATCCTGTTTGTTCCTCCCTCCTGGGTCTTCCTCCCTCTGCTGAGTTCCCAGCTTTATTTAACTAGCGATCTCCTGGCTTCACCTCTACAGCTAATTAAGCCCATTGCAACCAGCTGCCGTCACAGAGCCACCCTTATGTTGCAAGCTCATTGGTGAGGCTAAGGGATAGCTGCTAAGTCATGGGCAAGACTGAGCCCAGCTTGCCTCAAAGGGCCAGCCAGCCCACGACAGGAGAGAAAGCGTGTGAGGGGAAACTGAGGCACGGGGAGTGGAAGTGACTCACCCATGATCACATGGCAGGTCATGGGAGAGCCGAGAATAGAACCCAGGTCTCCTGACTCTCAGTCCAACCGGCCTCTGCAATGTGTCACTACATCACACCTAGAGATGGGCCCCAGCACAGCGCCTTGATTCCGACGGGACCTTCCCCAGAGATCTGGGATATTAGGATCTGGCTTCCTGGGAGCTACGTTGCCGGAGCAGAAGCACAGAGTCTCCTTGCTCCTCTAGAAGCGGGAAACAATGGCCGTTAACATGGAAGCCCTGCCACAGAAAAAACAGTGCTACAGGTTCACTGCTGCCAGAAGGGAAAGTGAACGGGAGACGCGTGTGGACGGTGAGGGGAGGAGATCAAAACCACAGCAGCAAGAGGAATAAGGCAGTGGCACTCTATGCAGTGATAGATGGGGGGGTGGGGTGGCTTGCGGGAGAAGGCTGGGGGTGGGTCAGGAGAGGTTAATCTAACCTTGTGCTTGTTCCAAACAGCTGGAGAAGTTAAAGGAGCAACTTTTGGCTGGGGAAGGCTCTGAAGAGGCCTACGCCGAGGCAGGCCTGCTGCCATCACACCCTGACAAACGCGGTGGGTTTTGGTTTTAGAGCAGCCTTTGGGATCTATCTGCCTGCAGCCCTCCTACCCGCCTGCCCCTTTAGGGCGATCTCTCTACACGCACGCGGGCTATAGCAGATATGCTGAGAACCCCAAGGTCAACAGAGCTCAGCCATCCATTGTGACCAGCAGGGCATCTATGGGCCTTGCCGTTGCTTGCTAATTCATCAGCCTCCTTGTCTGCACTAGCAGCAGGATCTCCCTCTAGCCTGAGCTGACTGGCTGCTTTCTGTCCACATTTCCATTTGCTTCTGATACTTTAAGGGGGTTTGGCAGCATCCTAAAATGGTCCTATTTTGGTCCCTTTTGGTGGAAAATCAGAAGCTTTTAAGAGCTTGTTGGTTCATAAAGGAACTGTGGACCCAGGCTGTAAGGAATAGCTCTGTTAAAGGTCCTCATGTGGAAGGGAATTTTAGTACTGGAACCACTCCAGGGAACCTTTAAGTGCTTCTAAAATCCATTTGGAAACCTCAAGCAGCCTTGCAGCAGACGTCTCTTTTCATTCAGGAGGGGGCATGGGGTTATTTGGTACATCTTGGCTCTCCGTTCTGCAGAAACCCCTTTGTCTGCAGAGTGAGTCCGCCCACATCACACAAGCTGATAGTGAAAACGTGTCCCCTTTGCCGAGGTCACTGCTCTCTTGCGTATGGGCAAAACAAGGAGCAATTGTTTGTGTGGCTGAGAGACAGTAAGGAAGGACATGGAAATTAACCAAGAATACAGTGAATTAGAGGTGGCCAAGATCTAAGATGTCATTCCGCCCAGTCCCCCTGCCAAGAATGCAGGACTGCTGCCTACTGCCAGTCGAGTTTTACATGAGCTTGCACCTAACATCTCTCTTTCTCTCCTGGCCCTCCCTAGCCTGCTTTTGGAAATACTGCGTGTGAAGCCCAGCTGGGACTGGAAGAGAGAGAGAAGGACAGCCCCGAATCGCCTCGCTGTGGTGTCCCCGTGTTAACGTATCTTCTGTACCTTCATCGTGCTGCTCCCTTGGGTGCTTTTCCCAGCGAGGAGCTAGGCAGGATTGACGGGAATTCGGACAAGACCGGGAAGCGCCCACGTTTCACTCATACTTCCCTCCCCCTCCATTTTGTATAGCATCTTCCTGCCCTGTCTCCTTTCAGTCTATCACCGGTTTGGTCTTATCCCTTGACTTTTCCTCGCTTCCTCTTTTCTCCAGGTCCTCCTGGTGCCTCACCCTCGCCTAGTCCCCCTGAGTGTGGGAGAGGAATGCCCCGTAGGCACCACTCTTTGCAGCTGCTCTTCATTGTGGTGTCCGGGGTCCCATTCCCCTTCTAAACTTGGGCCCAGGGCAATGGCACCACCCATCTCCTGTGGCGGTGGCAGGCCTGGAGCTGGGAGGGGATGTGTTTGCCGTTTAACTGACAAGATGAATAATAGCGGGCTGAGTGCATTGTGCGGATTTGGTTGCCTTGCTGCCACAGCTTTGTAGTGTTGTCGCTATTTGTGTCCTGTCGGTGTGCACAGTGTGTATCCTCCAGTCTTTACTTCAGAGGAGAAAAGGGCCAGAATACTGGCTCCTTTAGGATAGAAGTCAAATAAAGGTAAAATGCTGATTTATATTTCACAGAGTCCCCTGATGTTTCCTTTCTCCTTCATTAGCATGGCCCAGGCGTCCAGGTCTGTTCTTCCCTCCATACTCGCACAGAATTTAGCGTAGAAACGGCCACAATGGAATAGACCCATGGTTTATCTAGCCGGGTATTCAACAGTGACAAAAGTAGCAGTTGCTTCCTTTGACCAGTTTTGGGAATCAGGGCTTCATCTCCGACACGGAAGTGGACTAGTGCTAAGCCACTGGTCCAACCGCTTTGAGTTCCAACCTACCTAGGGTTCTGACTCCCATGGGTGGACTTCACCGGGGCTTTGCCCATTCCTGGCTTCACCCTCTCGGACGGTGTGTGACTCACCCCTGCGGCGCCTCCTGCTGGTCATCTCAGGGAATTAGCGTTTCCAGCCTCCAGAGTGCCCTCTGCAGGCCGGTGTCCCACTGCCGCTGGCCCCCCGTGTCCCTCCCAGGACCCGGTGCCCCTTGTCTTTGGGGTACTGCCCCCTGGCAATGCCCCCACAGTCTCAGGGTCTCCCCACCCAAGGGAACCCCCCCAACCCTCTATCCCCACTTTGCCTCAGTCGTGGGCTACTGCCAGTCACCATCTAGCCCCTGCTCACTGGGGCAGACTGCAGTGTAAAAGCCATTCATCATAGGCAAGGGGGGTTTGGACCTGCTGCGTCTGCCTACCCGTGGGCTGCCCCCTGCAACCCCAGTACCTAATTGGCCTTCCACTAGGCCACAGCCTGGGGGGTTTCCAGGCCGGAGCTCCCCAGCTCCCTTGGCCTTCCCCCAGCCCTGCTCCACTCCAGGTACCATCTCTCAGCTCCCTGCAGCCAGGTCCCTCCCTTTCAAAGCTAGAGAGAGTCTGTCTCTGGCTTCTGGCCCCAGCCCTCTTATAAGGGCCAGCTGGGCCCTCATTAAGCCAGCCACGGCCTGATTGGGACATGGCCCCCAGCTGAGGCTGCTTTCCCCAATCAGCCCCACTTTTCCTTCCCTGCCCCAGCCCTCTCCCCGGACTGTTTTAAGCCTTTTAAGGCAGGAGTGGGTGACCATCCCGCTACACCCTCTACCCCATAACTAAACCCACACGCATAGAATTCACCCAATGTCATACTGCTGCCTGTGGGTTCTGCGGGCATTCATCGGAAAGGGGCACTTGTTCAACTAACCAAGGAAGAAAATATTTTGTTAATTATTTGCAAAAGAAATACATCCAGTTCCTGGGCCATATTCCCAAGCGTAAATCCAGGATCACTCTGCTGAAGCCAATAGAGTTAATGTTAGATTCCCAATAAGAACAGAATTTGGCTTTGCAGTATGGATGAGTGAAATGATTTGGGCTATAATTGGACATGTGTCTCCAGGCCTGTCTAGCCATAGTATTTAACTGCAGGTTGCCTGGTACACATTCTTCAAAAACACCACTTCCCCACAAAGCATCAATTATTATCCTACATCCGCTGCCTGGGCTCTGGCAGAAGGTGCACGTTTACACCAATAGCTTGGATGTTCTTCAAGAACAGGGGACTACATGGCTTGTTATGATGCCGAAGCTGGCACACATCGAATGTAGGCCATTGGCATATATTAGCAGTTTGCATACATTAGCTCAGTTTGATCACACCCAAAGTACACCGTGCTGCTAAAGTTAACTCTTCGGGACTTGGACTCTCCTGCTGATTATGGATCCATATTCAGTGCCTCTGTGTAAACGTGCCTTCATGTGGTGTTCTCTACCACCACAAAAGCCGGAGAGACAGGACTAACCACAGCCCATTCTTCAGAGCAATAGCTCTCTTAAAAGAGTCGTGTAGTCACAATAGTTTGGGGACCTGTTCAGGGCTCTATACTTACGCCTCTCACTGGCTTTCAGATCAACTGAGTGCAGTTTCACCAGTGACAAGCCAGATTTTCTAATGGCCAGGGTAGCAAAGGCCAGCTGGGTTCTGCAGCCCGGCCGTGTCCTTAGCAGCATGAGGAATAGAGAGTCTGCAAAGGGAATCAGATGGTTGCAGCTATTACACAGTTGGTGTGTACCCACATGGCAGCAGCTGAGGTACCGCAGCACTTCCCTGTACTTCGGTAGCGGCGGTGATCAATATGACATACCGTGGTGTGGTGAATGTTACTAAATGTAGATTTTTAAGGCCAGAAGGACCCGTTAGGATCATCTACTCTGATTTCCTGCATCGCACAGGCCAGAGAACCTCACCCAGTGATTCTTGCATCGAGTTCATTGCTGACCCTTTAATGGCAGCCTCTCGAGTTCACAGGCTATGGGGCTTGGGCTCCAGCGTTCATGGCAGCTGGCTGGGAAGGCCGAGGGGCTTGACATGTGTCTTAGTCATCAGATTGAGGCTGTGGCGTATAGGAGGCAGCTTGTCTCCCTTCCTACCTCTCTCGAATGACAGGTTGTGGTCGTGCCGTCCCCTTTGCAGCTCCATGCCATGCTGCTGTCAGGCTGCCAGGACAGCATCGTGCCACAAGGAACAGTGAGACTGAGCAGGAAAGTATAAAGCAACCACCAAGAGCCTTGGGTTAAGTAGAAACAGCCTCCAGGGGCAAGTTAGTCCCTAAAAGAAGTTTCTTGCACTTTCCTCTGCAACTTGGAGAAGAGAAATCTTTATCTCCCTCAGGCGCCACTTGGACAGCCATGCTTTCTCACCATAACCACACTTTGTCCGTGGCAATAATATGAGCTGATTTGCTGCTCGGAGAATCCTGATACTCAGGGACCACACATAAGACATTGTAAACATATTTCCACAAGATGGTCTGTTCAGTTGTGTTGATTTATTAGCAGACACCCCCCAAAGGCATCTGAATGGTTTTCGGAACAGAGGAAAACAGGTAAAGTTGCTACACAGTACATGTCACAGTATCATCACCTCATGTTTGCTAACCTCCATGCTACATACAAAGACCTTGGCCAGTGTGATTTGTCTGTGAGAACCGCAGTGGTGCCCGGTCTTACTCTTTTCTCTCCAGTTTTAACACAGATCTTTCATAGGCCTCCTAATGCTTCCTATTTAAATAGGACTTTTCATCCATGGATTTAAAAAGTGCTTTGCAAACAAATTTAAGCCTCAGAACACCCTTTCGAGTTAGGCATTGGTGGATGAACTGAGACAAAGAGAGGCTACGTGATTTGGCCCCAGTAAAACAAGCAATCCAGTGGCAGTTTGGAATAGAACCCAGGAGTCCTGACCCCCAGTTTCATGCTATTACCAACAAAGAACACTCCTTCCCCATGTTTAATGTTCTCCTCCACAGTGGAGATATTTCTGTACATGCCTGCAGACTGCAACAATTATCTGTGGTTAGAACAGAGAAAAGGGCTAACGCTGGCCAATAGTTACACAGTACATTTTATTGTAACGTAGTTTTAGCATTCCCAACATAATGCATTAGCTCTGGATCTCTCCAGTCTGAGCCTCCCCAGGAGTGTAACCCGCTCAGACTGCACGTTTAAAGAAATAAGCAGAATTCAACATCAATTTCAGCAGACCCCAGAAAAAAGGGAGTAAATGAATGAGGCGACTCGTCATGTCTCTTTCTTTCTGTAACATTGCAGATTTCAGTCTGGGGCTGCGATCGTTTGTGACTATGCTACAACATTAGTGGTTAAAAGATAATCGCTATATATATATATATTTTAAAAAAGGCAGAGAACTGACAACCAAACCCATCTTTTCCTATCTGACAGAGAAAATTGGTGCGTGCCATCCCACGATCCATTCAAAGGCAGATACAACAAACAGTAGAGCTATGGAGCTGTGAAGGTCAAAGTGCCTTGGAGTACAGATTTGTGACAGGCTACAGCTCTGAAATCCTATGAGGCCACAGCTTTGTAAGAATCGAGAAGTTTTCTAAACTAGAAATGTTGACAAAAATAAAGATTTTTGTGAAAATTCCTTGTTTTCAACCAGCTCCAGTTCCAGTCACGGGGAGCGGAGGGAGGGTAGGAACTGTCAGTAAACATTAGTTCCTCTTGAGGAGTTGGCCGGATTCCTCCCTACTCAGCCAACTTTCCACTGGTAGCCTGTCTCCCTCCTCTGCATAGTACATGAGATCAGAAGGTGGATGCTTAATTCACTACTCCACATAGGCCACAGCCCACCTGCCTAAAACTGGGTTTTGTGGCACATTGCTGCTTGCTGCCTTGCTTCAGTCACACCTAAGAGAAAGACCCTGGTATGGCCCAGCCTCCTGTGGTCCCATCCTGACATAGTTCCTTTCCTGGATGATTATTCCTGATGACAGATTGGTACAAATCACCCTTGGAGTTTGGATCCTGGTCTGAGCTATCCAGGTGGCTCCCCTTTCTTTGTAATGGGCTGGACCCAAATTCCAGCACTGAATACCCTCAGCTTCAGGAAAAATCAGATCTGGATGCAAATCCAAACACTGGGATTGAGTCACATCTCTGTTCCCGATAATGTTTTGCAGGGTGAGAGAAGGAAGAGGGGGTGGAATCTCCTTGCCCTAAACACTTCAGGAAGCTAAAGCCAGGTGCTCTATGAAGATGGCTCAGGGGGCCGTGTCACCTCCTACTTGGAGGGCACCTCCAGTTCATCCCACGTATGTACAAGAAGGAGTGAAAGGAACTAATCAGCTCAGAGGTGTGAGGGAAGTAACAGCCTCAGCAAGTTTCAGTGTCTGTCAGATGAAAAGATTCATGACATAGATACAACAGAGGTAAGGCAAAGATTGTTACAAGTATCAGGCTAAATCCTAAGGTATTTACACAGGTTTTATTCAGTAAACTCCTGCTGACATCAGTAAAAGTTTTGTCTGAATAAGGACTGAATAAAAGCAGGATTTGTCCCCTTAACCAGTAAATCTTTCTCTTAGCCATATGAAACGAATAACCAACCCTCTTGAGTGAAATTTACAAAGCAATTCTGCCTTCCATAGAGTGCTGTTGGCATCTCTAAAAGTTTTATTTTTCTTCAAAAATTCTAATAGTCCTTGCTAGGATTAGAAACTTATGAGTTTAAAAAAAAAATGTTCATGCAGTGAAATTATATACACTCATTTTCTGTTCCCTTTTATTGTCAGACCAAAACATCGCGGTGAGAATGTTCTGATCTGATGGATGGAATCTGTTATTGTTTGTAAAATGCAATGTGAAATCGATTTTGCAGCAGGTCAATTCCTTAAATGTTGAATCATTAATCAATGACAAGACACTCTCGGAAGCATCTTCCATAGCTCTGTGACATTCCCGATACAGCATCAATCATCCAGCATAGATGCACCTGCAGAAAAAAAAAAAAAAGCGGTGAAAGTTACATTGTCCTCAAAGCCCCAGACAAAGATACTCTAAAAAGGTCTATGAAAGACAAGCAAAGTTAGGTGTATTGGATTTGTTGTGGGGGTTACAAATTCCTAACTTCTTAAGGCATCAAAGCTAAATACACAGAGATAAAGCAATGTTATATAGAATCATAGAAATGTCGGGCTGGAAGGGACCTCAAGAAGACGTCTAGTCCAGCCCCCTGCGCTGAGGCATGACTAAGTAAACCTAGACCATCCCTGACAGGTGTTTGTTCACCCTGTTCTTAAAAACCTCCAATAAGGGGATTCCACAACCTCCTTTGGAAGCCTAGTCCAGAGCTTAACTACCCTTAGAGCTAGAAAGTTTTTCCTAATATCTAACCTATATTTCTCTTGCTACTGATTAAGTCCATTACTTCTTGTCCTATCTCCAGTGGACATGGATAACAATTGATCACAGTCCCCTTTATAACAAGACCTTAACCTATTTGAAGACTGTTACCAGGTCCCCCCTCCTGATGACATGAAGACATCTTTCCACAGATCTGACCTTCCAAATCCACTGACATCACATGAGCTTGCGGGTCTGTAACCGAGAGCAGCACTGGATCCCAGGCGCCTACGTGGTGCCTGAACATTGCTTTGGTGAACCTGACTTACTTGCACCATCTGCTAACCCCTGGTGCTGGCGAGACGGTTCGTTCCGATTCGGTCTAGAGGAATTCCAAATCGTCGCTTGGGCAACTCCACCACCTTCCTACACAAAAGAACAGGGCAAAAACTGGAAAGGATACTTCACAGGAGTAACCTAAAAGTGATTACATCTTTGCTTCCTCCATTTCACACCAGTCTTGGCAATGGGGTTTGGTCAGGGGAGCTCTGTTGTTAAAACTGGAGCTTCTGGACAGTTACTCAAAATAAGGTGTTTTGCATTTCATAAACTACAGCCTCTATAAGAAAAGCTACCCCTGCTGGGAGCATAGAGTCGCAGCTGTTTACAGAAAGGCTGAATTTGGTCCATTATCCCCGTTTGGTAGTTGTTCATCTACTATTCGAAGAAGAGGGAAAAGATTTTTAAAATGTAAAAGGAATAGTATTTATGCAAAGTTTCATTCACTCATGGAACTCACTGCTGCAGGATATTATTAAGGCAAATATCAAATATTAAGTTACAAGGGCTGGGAAACCTTATTTTTCAGGTCATAAAGTGGTCATCCTGTCCTCCTCCGAAGTACAATGGTGCACAGTCAGGTATTTTGTGGGGTTTTATACCTTCCTCTGAAGCACTCAGCATTGTCCACTGTCCGAGACAAGCAACAAAGAGTCCTGTGGCACCTTATAGACTAACAAATGTATTGGAGCATAAGCTTTCGTGGGTGAATACCCACTTCGTCAGACTCTTTGTTGGTTTTTACAGATCCAGACTAACACGGCTACCCCTCTGTCAGAGACAAAAACGCCAAAGACAATGAACCATCAGTCTGAGTCACTGCAGCAAATCCGACCTTGCCAATGTGTCGCAGCAAAACTGAACAGTCCCTCCAAATGTTGCAAACGGCAGGAAAATATCGAGAAGGATGGACTCGTCTCCTAGTGCCAAAGAAGCAACAAGTGTTGTGTTGGCACAACTGATGTTCCATCCTACACTCCCATTATGCCTTTGTAGGGGTGCGGACTCACCCCTGCGGCGCCTCCTACTGGTTTCTTCAGGGAATCAGCTCATCCAGCATCCGGAGCGCCCTCTGCAGGCCGGTGATCCGCCTCTCCTCTGGCCCCGTGCCCCTATTACTGGGATGCTGCCCCCTGGCAGTACCCCACAGATCTGGGTCTCCCCTCCCTGGGGAACCCCCACCCACTGTCCCCACCTCGCCTCAGTACCAGGCCACTGCCAGTCACTATCAAGCCCCCGCTCCCTGGGGCAGACTGCAGTATCAGCCACTCATCACTGGCAAGGGGGGTTTGGACCTGCTGCCTCTGCCTACCCAGGGCTGTCCCTTTGCAACCCCAGTACCTCGCTGGCCTTACTCTAGGCCCACAGCCTGGAGGGTTCCCAGGCCGGAGCTTCCCAGCCCTGCTTCCCTCAGGTACCCCTCAGCTCCAGGCAGCCAGGCCCGTCTCTCTCTAAAGCAGAGAGAGAACTGGCTGGGCTTCTGGCTGCCCTGGCCTTTATAGGACCAGCTGAGCCTTAATTGGGGCGTGGCCCCAACTGAGCCTGACTTCCCACTCAGCCAGGGAGCTGCTTGCCCCAGCCACAGCCCTCTCCTGCAGACACGAGCGGGGTGACGACCCCGCTACAGCCTTCTTCTCCTCTTCCTCCGCCCACTCCTGATCTGCCTCCTCCTTCCTCTGCCCCCCGTGTCCCTTGCACCGGGGGCTGCAGCAAAGATGCTGGAGCGCTGTCTCGGTACCCGCTGCAGTCGCCCCACATGCTGGGGTTATTCTGTGGGGACGGAGGCCTCCCACACGGCCCCTTTGCACCAGCCCAGGTGGCGCAGAGGGCCGCATGGCAGTGCTGAACTGATCCCCCTCTTTTTATGTTGCTCGTGTTTATGTTTACAAGCCTGTAAAATGAAACCGATTTCGCTTCCTTGTCTCCAGGTTCCCAGTCTGCACCCAGCCCTGCCCCTGGCTTCCTCCAGGCCCTCTCCCTGTCTCCTCTGATCTCACTCTCCCTTCCCCGCTTCCTCTTGCCTCTCTCACACCTCCAGCGAACAGTTGCAACTTTGTCAGCTTTTCCTGCTAACCCTGACGGGCCTCTCCTCCCACTGGTAGGCTGCTGGCTGCACACCCGTGCCAGCGCCGTTAGCAAGGAGCAGCACTTGCTGGCATGCACCGCGTTTCTCCGACCGTCTTTGGCAGCCCCGGGGAATCCACAGGAGCGTTCCCTTGGCCCGCAGGCGAGGCTGAGACTGTTACAGGGCCAGTGTTAGTAAAAAACGAGGCCTTTCGAGGAAAGAGGGCTGGATCCGCGGTTACGTTTCAAACCCACAGAATTCCAGGCCCTTTGAAATCTCCTCAGACACGTTCTTCCGTCCTCAACTCAAGTGGCAGCAGCTCGGCTCCGCGCTCAGTCAGTAGCTTACTAAGTATAACTCCAGGGGGGCCTTAGCACTGAGAGCACCTCCTCCCCGCCGCCAATTTAATTCATTCGAAACAAAGGGCAGGATTCGAGCCTAAGTCAGAGCCAAACTCTGCTCCGTTTGACTGTCCAGACGCCCCTTGCATTCGGGGCTCCCATGAAGACCACTTGCCCTTTCCCTAAACTCTGCAGATGCCCAGCTCTTCCACCATGTTCCCTCCCCCTGCCGTACGGGGTGGCCAAGCCCAGAAAGGTTATGGGGCGGGACGGATGATGGGTTCTGAGGAAAGGTAGATGGAGGTGGAGCCAAGTCCCTAAAGGGTCTGAAAATCAAGGCCAGAGAGAATTATTGAGGGAGGCCATAGGGAGGAAAGGGAGGGGGGTGGGATGGGAAATAGAGGGTGAATCCCAGGAAATCGGCCAGGGTGAACAAAGGGTTAACTCAAACTCAGCTCCCCACTCCCCTAGAAGACGGGCTCAAGGGAAGGGCTGTAAGGAGCGGAGGATGCCTTAGGCAGGGTCCGACTCCAAGCTCCGGGGGCCCAGATCCGGGCTGAGCCCCAGGGTGGGCCGGGCTCTACGTGCTGAGTATTATTGTGTTTTACTTTCTTGTGATAAACATTAAGGGGCTGATCCTGTCTCCCCTGGACAACACTGTGGCAGCACATGGGGCAGGACATGCGCATCGACAGGCCGTGGGTGAATTCCCCCGGTGCAGAAGGAGCGTTGGGTTAATGCCAGGGGTAGGAGGAGAGTAGCCATAGAGCTTTGGGCTGCAGTGTAATCCATAGGCAGCCCTGGGGGCTGCTCTAACTTACGCCCGAGGCCATTTCAGCAGCCCAGAAGCTGGGTGGTTCAGCAGTGGTCTACGGTCACTTCTCCCCTCGCCCAGGCAGTCCTGGGGCAAAGGCTTTCCTGGCTGTGACTTGGGGTTTTTAAAATCATTCTGTGTAGTCACTTCACCAGCTTTCAAACATTAGCTTGCGGGACGCTCTCTGAAATGAAGTGCGTGTGGCGAGGGTGGTCCATTGTTTTGGACATTTAGAACTAGAGTCCGTAAGTCATGTGGGGGAGAGGTACAGGGGAATCATCCTGCAGGGGGTAGAAGGGATGAAATAGAGGAGACCTAATAGGTGTTTTCCAGTCTCCTTTCTAAAACAGTTGTTTGCAATGCAACGTTTAGACAACTCAATAGCTGCAAACATGAGCATGAGATTTCAATCACTGTTTTTAAACAAACAAAACCAAAAGGTGAGCTATTCCTAACGAAACCTTCCCTTGTGTCTTTCATCATGACCAATACGGCCATGCGTGCAGGAAAAACAAAACAATGTTGCAGGAAAAACTGGGCACGGGTTTTGAGAGTGGAGGAACTCGCATTTCACCCATAAAAGCACCGCCACTTTGCAATAAAAACCATGGTGTTTCTGCAAACACCTCGTGAATTCCCACCTGGGGACTAATCCTAATTTTTGTCCTTGGAGAAACTTTACAAAGAGATGGAGGACTGGAAAATGAACTCTCTTCGCTCTCTTCGGCCTTGTCTTCACTAGGAAACAAGGCATGTTCTGAACTCAAGGTAGTAAAATCCTAGTGAAGATCAGGCAGTTTGAAGTTTTCACAAGAGTTAGTGGATCAAGTTGAACCATAGGGGGGAGGGATATCTCAGTGGTTTGAGCATTGGCCTGCTGAACCCAAAGTTGTGAGTTCAATCCTTGAGGGGGCCATTTAGGGAACTGGGGTTAAAATCTGTCTGGGGATTAGTCCTGCTTTGAGCAGGGGGGGTTGGACTAGATGACCTCCTGAGGTCCCTTCCAACCCTGATATTCTATAGGATTCCCCCAAAGTCTTTCACTCATCCTGCTAAAACATGTGAAAATTGCCCTGGTCTTCACCAGGGTTTGACCTTGTGTTAAGAACATACCTTTTTTCCTAACGACGACGCACCCCTGCGAGGGAATCAGAGGCATCAGGGCAGCGTGCAGATCTGCTCCCTGTCTGTGTTTGGTTGGGTATAAGGAGGACTTACTTTTCCAGAGCTGTCAATCTGGTGCCTTTCAGCATCGCTAAATTCACTGTAAAACTGGAACTCAAAACCCAAACTGTCACACGGGCCCCAGACCCAGCCTAACCAAGGTGCACTTAGCGCACCTGCAGAGGGACCCATCTCAGAGGAGCCCCCAGCCACCAGAAAAAACCCCAAACCGAGTAGCGCTATGATGCGGTGTCCCAGATCACAATGGCACTCACTCAGATTTGGCCCGGCTGCCCCTCCATCATGTCGGAAGAGAGGCCAGGCCAAGCCTGTGAGCATAGGGTGGGCGATGGGAGCCATCAGACCTGGATGGCCGGGATAAGGAGGAGCCACTGTCACCCGGAGTGGAGTGCTGAGTTGTGGGGACGTGCCGGTGAGTGGCCAGGAGGGTCCTGGGGGCAGTGGGTGAGGGCTATGGGGCAGTGGGGTTGGGGGCTGGGATGTTGGCGGTGAATGGGGGATGCTAGGGGCTGTGGCTGGTGGGGCTGCAGTGTTGGGGGCTGCAATCAGCGGGATGTACATCAGGGCTGCTGGGAAGTGCGTGGGGGAGCTCTCGGGATCACTGGGGGCTGGTGGAGGGTTGTTGGGGTAGATGTGAGGTGCAGGGCATTTAGGGGGTCTGTATGGGGCTGGGTACATAAGGGGCGGTAACAATTTAAGGAATCTGGAGAGCCCCCCAATTTCCATAGTGGTCAGGATCCCAGAATTCTTTAATTTGGGCCTGATGTTTCCCATCGAAAGCATTGGAACAAAGTTAAAGCGTTTTACGGCTGAGCTGATCCCTCTTGTGGCCATCTGCAGCAATGACAGGGGCTTTCAGCCCATCCTGCAGAGTGTCTGTCTGCTGAGCTTCTGTGCATTTTCGCCGGTCGACCAAGCAGGCCTTGGTATTGGGCAGGAAAATCAAACGGAATTTTGTTTAAAAACATTATTTATGCCTTTGTGACGCTTACTGGAGTCTCCATCGCTTCAAATCTCGTCTAAAAGCTCGTCCTTTCTTGCTTTTGGCTATGCTTTCCAAAGCTTCTTAATGTTAACAAAGAATAGGTGAAATCCGGGATGAAGTGAATGGCCACTTTGCCATTGACTTCAATGGGACTAGCAGCATTTCACGCAATCTCTGCTGTAAGTTTCTTCTATGTGAGTGTATATCACGGCACTGTATTAATACAGCGTGTAAAGTCTTTTTCAGCATCTGAGAGTTTTTCAAGCCATTACATTCAGGATCTCTAAACCTCCTTGAGCTAAAGGTGTAACAGCAGCAGGCTGTCATCCCATGTGGACCCACCACTGGAGAAGGCAGAGACTCTGTCATTGGTTGACACTTGCCCTCGTATAGACGCTAAGAAACATTTCTGATTTGGTCTATATGACCAAACAGCATTCCCTTGGTCTGTACACTAGTGTAGTCATTGTCTAGGGTGACCCCAGCATGCTGGGTAGAACAGTAGCTGTGTAAAACGTAGTGATCAGAGAAACTCAAATGGCTTCAACATTTGGTTCATCCAGGAGCCAAAAGCTTGTCTGCTCCTCCAAGCAATGAAACCGGGGCTGGAAATGTCATGAAAGGAGATACTTGATGATACTCTGGCACTTCTGAGTTCAGCTAGACCTGCATGAAACTGTTTTTGATTTGAGAAATGTCATGAGAAATATCGGCCCATTTCTCAAACTTCCTCTTCCCCTTCCTCAGATATTTTGGTTTCTCTGTAATTTAGATCAAATCAATATTTTTACATCTAAAATATGAATTTCCACAGCTTCTTTTGAAAAAAGGGCTAATTTTTGCTCCCCAAAACAGCCAAATTTTGCTTAAAACCCCCACACACTTACCGCAGTTATTTTCTTTTCACAGAAATGGGCCCATTTTGAGTTCATAGTGAGCTGTAAGGGCAAAAAACCCGGCCTGAGGTTTTAATCATTTCACCTTTCACCCCCTACTGGCCAGAGCCTGGAAGTGCAGAGCGAGTATTAAAAGCTGGTTAATTGCAAAAATGTCTTTGAAAAAACCAATTTTGGAAAACGTTGGCTAGCTCTAGTGGATATTTTTCACTTCCAAATTAAACATAGTCAGCCAAACTTTTACAGACCTCAGTAAAAATTCTGGTTCCAGGTTTGTGGTGAGTTTTGGGTGAAGGCTGGGATCAGGTTTTATTTGATCTTAACTTTGTTCACCCATCCATACGAAGGCACCCCCCCTCCAGCAAATCACTTAAGCGAGTGCCTAACTTTAAGCACGTCACTAAGTGCTTTGCTGGAGTGGGGCTGAAAGGTGAGGGAAGATGGTCACCAGCAGCAAATAGCAGGGGAGGCGAAAGAGAGAGATCTCAGTGAGTGCTTTTCGTTACGATGAACAGCAGACACCCTGCGAGTCTTGCCCAGCAGCCACACGCATCTCCTTTACCTTCTTAATTCTCATCTCCTTGGCTCTTTCCGACATAAAGCCCCATCTCCTCTTAG